ATATAAAATATATAAAAAATTCATGTGAGTATTTAAATGAAAGGTCTCGATAAGTGTAACGTCAGGGTGAGCTTTTTTTTTTTCGGGCGAGAGGAGGGAAATCTTCATAAGACACCGGCTAGATGTTGGAGATGTTGGTTGCCGGTAGTGTGAAATTCTTACTCACTAAAACCCTCCCCTCTCTTGTACCTGATACTGCGGGACCGCGTTAGCATTACTTCGCAGTACCAGGCCCCCTCCAAGCTACTCCTGTAGCTATTTCCTCCTGTAGCTATTCCTTCTATATAGTCCTGTAACAGGACCCTCCGTTTTTGCGGCTGTGGCCGGCTTACAGTCTGTACCCGCATTTGCTTGTGCCCCGCTTATTTTAGGGGCACAATGACCGAGGAAAAACCACAGAAACCTGGTCAAGGTACAGTCGGCAAGGGAGCAAGCCCCGGAAATCGCAGCAGAAGAAGAAGAAGAAAAATTGCAATTGCCAGGGCTTGAACCCACGCCTGAGCGACTGCTGTGCGGCAGTCTAAGACTTAAACCGCTCGGCCAAGCAGTCGCCTAACGTCAAAATGAGTTTATATCTTAAAAAATGTCAATAATTCACAAGATACAAGGCAATTTCTTAATTATTCACATTTTTTAAGATATAAGCTCATCCCGATGTTACACTCATCAAGAGCTTTCATTTGAGTACCCACATGCATTTTTGATATATTTTTCATACATACATATATATAATATATATAAATATATGAAAAGTTGATGTGGGTACTCAAATGAAAGGTCTCGATAAGTGGAATATCGGAGTGAGCTTGTATCTTTAAAAATGGCAATAGTTCACCGGATACGAGGTAATTTTTTGATTATGTATCTAGAGATAGAGCATTTTCGAATGCAGCCTTAATTCCTATCATAATAAACACTATTGACTATTGGTGAGAATGATATGAAACCTTGAAAAGGCACAACTCCAAGTCAAGACCTTTCTAATGATACCAAACTCAACCATAAAAACCCATTTTATCATATAAATGCACTGGCCACAAAATTTTTCTTATTCTCTTAATAATATAGATTATTATTATTATTATTATGATAATTATTATTGCTGTTTTAAATATTATTGCCTGCCTCATGAAAGTCATGCTGCTGTCACAGGAAAATCATGTGGCAGCTATATGGAAAAAATCATGTGGCTGCCACAGGAAAATCATGTGGCAGTCACATGAAAATCATGTGGCTGCCACAGGAATGTATCATGTGGCAGCCCCAATTTTTTTTTTTGCGTGTGTGCACCAGATAACTTAACGTCACTCAGATAAGTATTTTAAAAGTTATACCGATATATTTGCAAAGCCAAATCGGAACGTACCGCACAAAAATAGGGCTCAGGCCGAAAAACATTAAACGTTTTTTTCTGAAAACTGTATTTTCATAGTTATCGAGCAATATTTATCCAACAACAGCTGATTAAATCAGTCTTTTAGTTTTATCCAATTTTTTAAACTATATTTTCCAGTATTTGATCTAAAGATTGATAATTTCGATACATATTTTATATTTTTATCAACAATTTAAGGCTAACATTTTCATCGAAAATTTTTTTTTGTCAAGCCACCATTTTGTTCAAAACAGATATTTTTACATTTCCTTCGATAAATTACTAGTTGATATCTTATATTATATTAACAGAATTTTTTTTTTATTTTCGATGACTCAAAGTGAAGGTATCGTTCCCACCGCAAGTAACCTTTTTTAGAAGATCTCTTGAAGATCGTCTACAGGAGCTAAAAAAATCATTATTTGTAAAAGAAAAAGAACTTATTAAAAGTCACTACCGTATGTATATCTATTTTTATATTAATCAATTAAGAGTTCTTTTCAGGAAAAATGATCTCATGACCGCTATTTTTTGCGTTCTAAGTAGACTTAAAATTTTTCGTTAATAAGAAAAAATGAAGATATTGCAAAATTATCCTTACATTCAATAATGATTTTTTTGATTAAGGGGTTACATTGGTTAAATCGGTTTCATAGTTTCAAAAAATTGATTTTTAACTTCCCGCTAAGAAAATTGAAAATTTTCAAAAATCGTGTGTGTGTGTGTGTGTGTTTTTTTTTTTATAGAGGAGGTAAAATAAATTTACGTATGCCAGGGCTTGGTGTTGTTGCCAGGACTAGGTGTTGGTGCCTGCAGGCATGGGTATGTCGGACTCGGAAGTCAATATTTGCAACAATACCGACTAAATATCCTCCTCTCTCCTTTCCCTATAGATGTTACAGGGATGACTGGAAACGGGACCGCGTTAGCATTACTTCAATCCAGTCCATGTTGTGTCTCATGACACCTACTTCTTGTTACTAATTACTGGTTTCTAATCCCTTTCTGCGATTTTTTCTTTTAAAAGGCGCTGCGCGTAGGCTGCGACAGCTGACCAGTTTTCTTCTTTTTTTATCATGCAGGTTACCAAGCTCTCAGGGGAGAGCGTGGTGCCTATTGTTTCTTCGATGCTGGTTCTGTCGTCCTTCCACCGATCACACCCGAAAAACGTGTGTTCGACGTTGTCAATTTTGTCTGGGCAGTATTTGCACGTTGGTGTACTGTGCAAACCCATCTTGAAAAGATAAGCATTAAACTGCCCATGTCCCGTCAATAGCTAA